AGCACCGGCCAAGCTGGTGTTGGCATTGCCCTGAGTCCCCGGGCTGAAGCTGCTCCGGTTGATTGGATTCCAATCAGTAGCCGGATGGGTGCGGTCCGATTGGCTGGCTCGTTCAAAACTTCGAAGTCGCGCGGGACTAATAGGTGTCCATGCATCATCGCTGCCTACGCGCCCACAATCTGTAGCGATGGTTCGGTAAAGAACGACTTCTACCACCAACTGACTAAGCTCCATCGCCACAGAAGAAGCACGGACACTGTTGTGCTGGCTGGGGATCTGAACGCACAAGTTAGAAAACTATCCACTGATGAAATGCATCTGGGCGGTCAGCACGGTGTAGGCTACCGTAATGATAACGGCGAGCGGTTTCTTCATTTGTGTGAAGATGACCGCTTATTTTTTGCGAGCACTAACTTCCGACACAGCACCTACCGGAAGGTGACTTGGCGCCCACCAGCCTCGAACTAGCCTTGGACGCAGATCGATCCCATTGCTGAGTTACCGCTGGAGAGGCTGCGTCCAGAACTATTGCTCGATTTGGAGCACATGTGTGGACACCGACCATGCACTTGTAGGTGCTGACATGCAGATGCGTTTTGGCGGACGCCCACGAAGACGCTGTGAGCGCATTGACACCAGCCAACTGACAAAGCCAGCCGTTCTGAACGCGTATCGAAGTACGCTGACATGTGAGTCGAGTAATCGCTCACCGGAGACAATTGATGGTCACTGGTCACATGTTCACCAGACCTTACTAGCAGCAGGCAAATCCTCATGTGGTAGGTCTAATAGCCAACATGGACATTGGGTCTCTTCGCGGTCTCTGGAACGTATCGACGCTCGCCGGCATTTCCCGGCAGGAAGCGAACAAAATGAAATTCGAAAAGAGCTCCGGGCAAGACGCCGCGTTAGCCTGAAGAGGGACCGCGAATCTTGGTGATCTCATCGTGCGTCAGAGATGGAAGTGGCCGCTGCCCTTGGCAACCATCTTAAGTTATTCCGTCCGATACGGGAAACGGGTAGGAAGAGACCTGGTGTTAGTGAAAGCATACGTGACGAGAGTGTACAGCCGATCCACAATTTGTCAAAACGTTTGGAGCGTTGGGCTGAGCATTTTGAAAAGCAATCTAATCAGCTAAAATTGTTCGATTCTTCGCCGGCCAGTGATGGCCCTGTCCCTTTGGATCCACCCTCTCGTTCAGAAGTCGAACGTGAGATCGGACTGTTGAAGTTGAACAAAGCCGCGGGACCAGATGCTCTTCCTCCAGCCCTCTTCCAATTCGGAGGCTCTGCTCTTGTTGATGCTTTACATGAATTACTAGTGAAAATGTGGGAGCAGGAAACTGTCCCAACGGACTGGAGCCGTTCCGTTATTGTTCCCATCTTCAAAGGAGGCTCGCGAACGGAATGCGGCAACCATAGAGCAATCAGTCTGATCTCCATCGTCAACAAATTACTCGCCTCCATAATCCTTCACAGACTGACTGGCGTTCGTGAAAGCCAGATTCGTGAAGAGCAACCCGGGTTTAGTCGGGGTCGTGGATGCATCGACCACATCTTCACCTTGCGTCAGTTGTTGGGGCATCGTCACACATGTTGGCGACCCACCGTAGTCGTGTTCCTCGACATCAAAGCTGCCTTCGATTCGGTTGATCAATGTGCCCTTTGGAATTGTCTACTCAGGAAAGGTGTACCCGAGAAATATGTAAATATTACCCGAGCATTATACGCGCGTAGCACGGGCAGAGTGAGGGCTTACGGCAAGCTGTCGCCACCCTTCAATATCTCCAGCGGTGTGAGACAAGGATGTCCGCTGTCACCCCTCCTCTTCAACTTCGCCATTGACGAAGCCATGGAGATTGCATTTACGGGACATGACTTGGAATATGTGGAACTACTCCCAGGAGAAGGACTTCTTGACTTGGAGTATGCAGACGACATTGCCCTCATCTGTGACAGCCCCCAGACGTGCCAAGCCACGCTGGACAGATTAGCACTGGCTGTCAGCCGCTTCGGGTTTTGCTTTGCACCATCGAAATGCAAAGCGTTCCTCCAAGATTGGCAGGGATCGCCTCCTGTGCTGACCATTGGTGGGGATCAGCTAGAAGTCGTTCGGAAATTCAACTCCTTGGAAAGTTGCATCAGCGCCCTTTGGGATCAAAGACGAGATCACGAACCGTATAGCAAAAGCACTTCGAGCTTTCGCTAACCTTCGCCACCTATGGCGGCGGCGCGACATCACTCTCGCCCTGAAGGGTAGAATGTACAATGCAGCGGTACGTTCGACCTTACTGTACGGTTGCGAAACTTGGCCCCTAAGATCGGCGGACATGAAGAGGCTAGTTATGTTCGACCATCAGTGCCTTCGCAGTCTGGCTCATACCTGGTGGGAACACCGCGTGAGTAACGAGCGTGTTCGACGCCTTGTTTACGGCACAGAAAATGGAACTGAACCGCTCAGCACCGTCATTTCACGCACCAGGCTCCGATGGATGGGCCACGTGTTGCGCATGTCAGCCCACCGACTTCCACGACGTGTGTTGTTTGCTCACCGGGGATGTGGATGGAAGAAGAGGAGGGGTGGCCAAGCGATGACTTGGTCGAGAGGAATGAAGGTCCTCACTCCGGAGCTGGGCTCGGTTGGAGCGTCACGGCTCCCTGGTTGGGGTCCAAAAGACGGTGAACACGTTTGGCTGGATACACTAGCTGACATGGCAAGGAGCCGACCTCAGTGGCGTTCGTGCCGTGAGTTTCTTTGTCCTTCCCCATCGCTTTTAGCCTCCCTCCACCTACGATCTCATTTCATAGTGTAAAACATAATAATTTTTCTTTTTGCCTAGTAGCCGGCTGGTAGCTTACCGGAACGATGCCTATCCGTTGCTGGTAGCTCAGCTGGCATGCAACTGTTGTATTTATTTTCCTTTTCCTTTATGTATTGCGGCACAGTAGCTAAGGCGTTTCCCGCCTCTAGCTGACGTATATAATGATGATGATGCAGGTTCCGGCAGGAAAAGCCAAATGAATCTTATCGACTTTCCCTGGTTCAGAATTAATTTACATTTGGCTAGGATGTAATAACGTTGAAGCTCCAAATGCGGGTGGGTTCTGAAAGAAAACCCAATCGAATCTACTTAATCCTTAATACAGATGCCTTAGCATTTTTTGCCTGAACAATGCGCAATATGCTGCACTTGGGAGAATCGTCTGAGAAAATGACTACTGAAGGCTTCCCAAAGTACCTTGTAACATTGCCTCTTTCTATGGGTTCCCGGTAACGCCAGCCACAAGCATCCCACTTTTAGGTATGTGTAGGGAAAGTTTGGGCTAGTTCAGTGTGCATCAAGTTTCCTCACTAAATGCGCTCGGCTATTCTAGTCAAAATTTTGTAACCCTATAACGTGCTAAACGAGGGTATCATACTAGAGTAATCTCTTTGTCTAGCTGCTAGGTAACGTAGATGCAGCCATTAAGAGCCTATTGTGGCGTAAAACACTATATGCTCGTCTATGTGGCTATACTTTTCTGCGGCTTTTAAATCGGCACCAAAGGTTTTGTGGTGTCAATATTGGAATCTGGAAGGGTTCAAGTTTGACGGGTAGTTTGGTGTCGCATCAGAAAACCCGCCGCCAAATACCGACGGTAATTTTCTGGTGTTTTTTCCTGACATTGATGCAGATAGTCAAATACAGCCAGTGCCGCATTGCATGCAACAAATAGTACCCATGACATTGATCCGACAGTAGTAACGAACCAACTGTAACGCTGTACATGATACTGATCTAGGTCCTTGACAAGTAACACGAGCTTTGCCGGTGAACACAGAACCTCGTCGGTGGTTTGGCCATCAGTGCACTGAATGACCACTTCAAGCGATTGTCCAATGGTTGCGAGGAATGTTGGCGCGTTCATCCAGATGTGTAAGAAAATGGTACTATAAAAGCATGAAGTTCATGCCGGAGTTGGGCACCAAATACATCAGATGAAGGGGTCAGGACGAAGAAAAAACAAATGAATAAAGAGAGGAGACTGTTTCGTTAACGTTGGACCCACAGTTATTGAATTGCCGATGCTACTACTATTTGGCATGATAACTGACGACTTCAGAAAAAGGAAGATATAAACTCAAATTGGTTTTCAAAAGAATAAATCGCTAAAATAGCTTTGATTTCACATAGGTGATGAGTGAAAGAACACCCTGTTTTCAATTTATCACGGAGACTGGGTTACCTTCAGCTGTGAAGAATGGCAGACCAACATGCCATGGGAGTTAGTATATGAAAAGGCTTTTTAAGGCATATCACAACTCCTCGAGCATGCAAACTTGATGGGCCAATCTAGGCTGTCATATGGAAAGACAGGTGCAAGGACAAAATGTCCGCGGGGGTACTCACGAGGTCTTAGTGGATAATTTTCAAACAAATCAACTCTTTACGTAATTAGATCAAGTCCGCTATAAACTCGATGATGTAAGGACGTGCGTTCATCGTTGGCACGGGCTACTAAAGACACTGCTAAAGACCCGTGTTGAATTCGTGGGCTACTTCTTCCACCTCGCGTTTTCCATTGTTTGTGAAGTGGTCGTTTTTGCCTATTTAGTGGCTAAGAGTCGTACTAGCGCTCGGTCAATACTCGTTTCCGTTTAGTCACACTGCGCGCGCGAGAAAATTCGAAACTGTTGTTCGGTTCCTTAGAATATGGCGGTACAACAGTCGGATGTAGATCGGCAGTCATATATGTAGCTGGTCAATGATACTCATTAGTTTGCACACATCTCTCGTGTGCTTCATCATACATACCGCGGATATTTCGCTCGAAGGAATCGTCACCAGCAGATGATTGTCACAAACCAGTTCCACGGATTCAAGATAGTTAGAGTCCTTCTCCAAGAGAGATAAAAGCAGACAATCGGCAGCAAAGGGAGTTAATACTGCGGAGAACAATAAAACTACCGAAACTAAAAAACAAACGTGAGTTGTATTACTGATTCAAGGAGCAGAGCAGGAACACTGCATTATGACAAGGCGGATAGCGTCGAACGGACTGTGGGTGTAGCCGCACCTAATGGATTGTCCGAATACCCTTCCAGAGTGAACTCGCCGAGATGGACAAGGGCAGACCAAGAGATTAGTGCGGTAAGTATACGATCAAGAAAGAACGTAAGCGTGCACATATCCAACGTATTTCAAGTATAGCAATACAAACTTCCCGTGAAACAAGAGGGTTGGAGCGGATGGGGGTGTAAAAGTGTAACAAGCGAAATGACCGGTCTAGAGGTTTGTCACGATTGTATCCATACGGCCGATCAAATCGGCCTTCTTTGTGCTCATATCACTATCAGAGGATTGATACTGGGGTTTGGTGATCTTCCCGCTGATCAATCTTTCGGCCAATTGCACACTTTCTTGGATCAGATCACGGTAACAGGAGTCCAGAGTCAGAAGTTCTTTTAGCTGTTAGACAAAAGTAGTAAAGCAAAGGTAAATAATCTTCTTGGAAACAGCTTACACATGGGTCTACAATGGTGGTGTGCGGAAATATCAACAGGGAAATGGAAAAGAAGGGGAGAATAAGTTAGGCCCCCTTGTGCTAACTCAACGGAGTTGTGATAGAGGCGAAGTGATTTCAGAAGAACCTGATGTGTCGCTGCCCTTCGCCTTTATCTCTCTGCGCTGCCAACCAGGCGGAGAAAACAAAACGCCGAGCCTGCTAGGCCGAAGTATATTAGGCACAGAACATGGATACTTTATAGGTCACATGAGCTTATCTCGCCGCTATCACAGAGGTGACTCACATCTCTTGTCTGAACAGATTCGACTCTGGTAGCGGCCTTCACTGCTGACTGTAGGTGGGATCACGTCTGCAACATAGTCTCTGTGGCAGAACTCGTTGTAAAACCAGTACTCATTCGCATGGTGCGATACTATGTCACACTAGCCAACTCCGATGGAAGCACCCAACGATAGCGGCGAAAAGGCCAAAATAAGTGCCCCTTAAAGCTATTGTTTCAGTCATAATGTGTCTGTTCGGGGTAAAGGCGAGTCTGGAAGAAGAGCGTTATGCTGTAACAGTAAAATGAAGACTAGAAGCTTCAAAAACGACTGATCGAAATACTCGTCAGCAATGCATCCGCAGCGAATAGAAGATGGGAATAGCTTTAGTCTAAGAGATCGGTTCATGGACCACGAACATCCATATGACATCCCATCATATGAGGATAGAATAGAGCCTTGATAAAGAAGCAAATGTGGGCAGCTCAGGTGGCATCACCTCGACTGGTGACGAAACGTTTGCAAAAGAGTTGCCAAGCTCAGAGAACAGGTCGTCTGATAAAGAATTGAACTGTTAGATCCTCGAGTAAGATGGGCAATCCACAAGTAGTGGTGCAGAGGAGAGTTGATAGTGGCTAACTGACATCCTATCAGGTTGGCGCCAAGATATGAGGGATGGCAAATTTAGATCTGTGTCCGGAAGAAGTGACCACTACGGTAATCAGCTGACCATTCGGAAAGCAGAAAATGGCAGTTGGCAATGAAAACCGGACAGGACAGTGGTGAACTAATGAATAATCCTGCTTATTTGGTCTAATCCGGTGAGCAACGGATGGTAGGAGGAAACAAGAGAAACGCGTAAATAAAAGGCAGAGGCAAGGAAAATCGCCGACCTTTTCCACGCCATCACTATACAGGTCGGACATTTTGGCTTGTACGCTAGCCAGCGACTGATTCAGCTTCTTGTGTTTCGCCTCTAAACCGCGGCGATCTGAAGCCAGTTGTGATGGGTTTTTGCTGGATTTGTATTGTGAAATGGCGTCTTCATAGGACTGGTACAAAGTGGCACGCCGTTTGTACAAGTCGATAGCCTCGTCAACTATAGATTGGACGCGTAATCGCAGCTCGGTTTTTTCATCCTGTGATAATGAGGAAGGGGGTAAGGGGATAAAACAGAGTCAAGGAAAACGTAGATGGGGTAATGGAAAAAGCGTCGGAGACAGAATGAGGCGAAACGTGGAGAACGGACATGAATGGCCGTGTTCGCGTCGCTGGATGGTAAGCGCTGTCGCAATCGGTCGTAGTCAGATATGCAAAATGACATCATATACTTATTGACTTGTGCCCACGAGAAACAGGTCTTTATTAAAGAAGATACATCACAAGGCGAAAACAGCAGTTTATAACTTGTTCACATAGCAGAGAACAGCTGTGGTTGGCAGGTTTTTTTTTATAAAAAGTCTTAAAACTTAAAAGTTGATGACAATAGAGGAGAGGAGTTCGAATTCAGCTCGTTTCAAAAAATACGCATGCGGTTGCTCAAGAAAAATGAGCAGAATGATGAGGAACAGAGAAAAAGTCGTCTGTGTGTATTACGAAAAGCACCTTTAAGAGTGTAGTTTCAAGTGGCCCCAATCTTACGCACAGGACCGGAAGCGGTTACCACATAACCAACCGACTACGCTTGGTTCAGGATGCTAGCAGACGGTCCGATTGGCCTCGTGGTCGAAAGTAATCGACTGGACTACTCATCGGTCATCGAGAAAAATAAGTGTGTGAAATCCCGTGGTAGTTGGTGGTGGAGGTGAGGTTGTAGTCCCTAGCTGGGAGAAGGAAAACAGTATGGAAAGAAGCCGTCCAAAGCAGAGCCATTTGGGATTCGATGATGGTAAATCGGTAGGAATTTCCGATTCCTTTATGAGGTCATGAAGGATAAAGTACCATCATCATCATCTTCATATTACCTTAACTGAGGGTGAGAAACACCAGCTTGTGCTGCATTATAAAGGATAATATATACAAAAGAGCCAGACACTAAACAGTACATATTGCGAAAACTGGAATACGAGTGATCTAATACATAGTAACATGCTATCCATGGCGTGAGTGGTTGGAGGCGGCAGATAAGCGAGGTGAGGGGGGACAAAGAATCGTCATCATTATCATTACAATAAGCTGTAGGTGAGAAACACTTCAACTATTGTGTCGCAATACAAACGAAAAAAGCAAGATGCTGAAAATTAAAGAATGCTAAAAACAGGCGACAGACTAGTTAATAACATATTATGAGTCAAGAGGGAGGCCAAGATCATAGGAAGAAGATACGCGAGATGAGGAGGGACAAAGAAACTCACAACACAAACGCCATTGAGATTGGCTCATTGCCATGCAAACGGGAAACATCAACCGATGCCAACTTTGAAGTGAGGGGTTTCATTCCTCTTGACCAAGTTACCGCTTGGCCACCTCTTCTTCCTTTCCATCCTGATCCCGGGCGCGCAAACAACGCACGTCGCGGGAGTCTGTAAGCTGGCATGCGCAACACGTGGCCCAGCCATCGTGTTCAGAGAACGTTTACTTAGTCCAGATGCCAGCGTACTTTGATACGCATTCAGGACATCTGGCTTCAGCACCTGGCATGTATCTATGCACTCAAAGCTACGCCGCATGCGCCCACCGAAGCGAACTGTAGGATCGATACAAAGGAGCGCGTGGTAAGAGTCCACGCTCGTGCTCCAAATCGAGCGACAGTTTTGGACACAGCCAATCCAGCGGTAACTGATCGCGATGTGGTCGAGTTTCGTCCATGGCTGGTTTGAGGCGGGCGGGTGCCATGTCACCCTTCTGCGAATGCTGTGTCAGAAGTTAGTGCTTGCGAGAAATAAACGAGCATCTTCACACAGGTGTAGCGATCGCTCATCGTTATCAGTACGGGAGCCTACACCGTGTTCGCCACCCAGATGAAGATAATCAGTGAACAATTTTCCAACTTGTGCGTACAGATACTCAGCCAGAATAACAGTATGCGTAATTTTCCTGTGACGAAGGAGATCGTTCAGTTGGTGATATCGTCTTTTACCGAAGCAGCGCTATAATTTTTGGGCGCGTAGGCAACAATAACAAACAAGTACTGTTTGTTTACGCGCGACTTCGAAGCTCTGAAAGGGCCAGTCAATCTGACGGCGTATATCCAAATGTTGACTGGAATCCAGTCAAACAGGGCAGTTTCAACTCAGGGAGTTAGAAAAATGCCCACACTGAGTTGACCAGTATGTAAAGCTACGTTATCGCTAGACAAACGCAAAGAGAACGCGCCGCCAGTGTCGCTTGTGGGGGTTGCAGGGTAATGGCGGAACTCGCATCTTACAAGCGGGCTTCCGATAAGCAACATATGTCGATCGATAGGGTCTTTAGTGTTCGGACAAGTGCTGCTGGTTGGCCAATCAGCAACAAAGTGCGTATGTTGAGGTATGTCAATCTTAGCAAGGATCGGGGGCTCCAAAGAAAATCGGATGAACTGATATTGGCCGCTTGGCTGTAGATGGACTTGTCAACGGGACTGGAGCGACGCCCTGCGACTGTGTATGAGTTGAAACTAGAAGACAAGTGACTATTGAAGCAAGGTGACGGAGGGCCAAGAATTGGGGGATTGAAAATTAGTTGGAGCGGGACGATAAGGATGAAAAAGCGCAAGTGGGGGTATAAGAGGGAAAGGCTTGAGCAGTAGCATCCAAACCCCTATCCATTCAGCTCGATGAAACAGATAGGGCGCCGTCTAGTGTCCTCTGGGACGGCCAGAGCATTAAGAAACCATGTAGAGTGATGTACATAGAACTGCATTGCGAGGTCAGGATACTGTCAGCTTGCCCAGGCCTAGACAGAAGAACGATTAGCGTTCTCAATCAAAGCCTTTGGTTCAAAAACCTGCCAGCGGAGTTGTGGCATGGGGCTACAGAGTTCGTTTCATAGAGTAAGGAGCCACCCTCACTCCAACCCCCAATTTGGAAGGCCAAGCGACTGAATTTCTCTGGTTTCTACCCACTGACCAATATGGTATGAGTGGCTCTTAACGCAAAAGAACCTCCCAGCATTGCTCAGTGGATAGCTGAGGCACGTAAACCATCGCAAGACGTTAAGGTCCAGGCTCGTCGCGATGGGTAACAAAAAACCCACAACACATGTGCCATTGAGGTCGGCTTCTTGCCATGTCAAAAACTGCATCCAGCCAGACGTATTCATCGTCCTTCGATCCACATCCGGGCGGTCGGGAAACATCAACTGACGACAACTTTGAAGTGAGGGGTTTCATTCCTCTTGACCAAGTCACCGCTTGACCACCACTCTTTCACCCTGATCGCTGGCGCGCAAACAACGCACGTTGCGGGAGTCAGTGGGCTGGCATGCGCGACACGTGGCTCAGCTACCGTAGCCGGGTGCGTGATTTAATGGTGATGGGCGGTTCACCAGCTCATTCTACACCAAATACACGATGCCGAACGCGCTCATTGCTCACGCGATGTTCCCACCACATATGAGCTGAACTGCAAAGGCAGAGATGATCTAAGACAGCTAGCCTCTTTGTGCCAGTCGACCTGACAGGCCAAATTTCACAAGCGCACAGAAGGGTTGAAGGAATGGCTGCACTGTAAGCCTTGCCCTTCAGGACGAGAGTAAGGTGCGTCGGCGCCACATGTGGCGGAGATTGACAAAGATGCCTCCAATTTTTATTATACGATTCGTGACCTCATCTTCGATCCCACGAGAGCTGATATAGCTTCCAAGGTACTCATAAACGACTTCTAACTGATCCCCACTAAGCCTCAGCGCCGGTGTGGGTCCCTGCCAATTTTGGGGACGCATGTTGCATCGTGAGGATGCAAAGCACTGCTCAAAGCCATTGACAGTTATTGCTGTTTGGCACGTTTTAGAGCTGTCACATATGAGGGCAATGTCGTCAGCATACTCCAAGTAAAGAAGTCGCTAACTTGGAAGCAGCTCCATCCCTTTCAATTCGTGTCTAGTGAATGTAGTCTCCATGACTTCGTCGATGGCGAAGTTAAAAAGGAATGGTGACCGCAGGCAACACTGTCTCACACCGCTGGAGACATTGAAGGGTGGCGATAGTTCATGATAAATCGTAACTTTGCCCGAGTCACACGCGTACAGCGCCTTTACGACATCTACATATTTATTAGGCACACTTTTCCTGAACACAGTCCCAAAGAGCACATCGATCTACTTAATCAAAGGCATGTTTGGAATCGAGTAACACTACTACGGCAGCGGTGTTCCAACAATGGACGTGATGTGAAAATGGGACCAACACAAATTCGATTTCGACGAAACCCGGTTCGCACCTCGTGAATTTGGCTTTCACGGATGACAGTCAGCCAGTCTATGGAGAACGATAAAAGCAACTTAGATCAATTGGTCGAGCTAATAATCATCCAATACCAGCGCTAGTCATATTCCTAACTCCGCCCCGGGTGCCTAGGTCTGAACGCATAAATGGTATTCCAACCCGAGAATCACCGCTTGTGGTTGTGTAACAGTGGAACATCCGCACTGATAAACTACTGATTCTTCTCCCCGTCGTGTAGTCCCTTGGTTAATTTCTACATTTGACTGAATAGGGCCATCTCGGTGAAAGAAACACGTCGAGATAGTTAAGCGTGCGAACAGGGAGATCTAAGAACAGCGGTTAGGTCAGCAATGGTAAAACAACACGTAGAGAGTTCACTGATTTTCCTCATTCACGTAAACGATATATGCTAATATACTAGAAATGGATGCCTAATTTTATTTGCGGGTGACATCTATTTAGATGTCATTCCAACCTGACTATCTGGAGCTATGTACAAAAATATACGAGAAGACCAATCGTCCAAAAACAAATGGAGCGAAAGCAGGTTACTGAGGTCTTCTGCAGACAAACTGCAGACTCTGACACAGATGTTGTATACTAGCATCTGTTAGCCCATTCCAACCGCGTACTCCGTTCGACAATTGAGAATTCCATAAGTTAGTAATTTCAACTTTTCCGAGCACATCCTACATTAAGTAGTGAGAGCGAAGCCATAAGCTACATCATTAGTCTTTTTTCCTAGCCCGAATACGGCTTGAATCACACAAACGTATA